AGCGGCGTGCGCTGCGGGGCGAGCGCGGGTGGGATGTGGGGGTGGGCGGGTAGGGCCGATGGCGGGGCGGGAGGTGGCGGTTCTTCTTGTGGGATGGAAGCGGCCGTCTTTCGGACTCGGAGCCTCGAAGTGAACTTGGAGGGGCTGCTGGGGCCGTTTGCTCGTCCCTCGCTGGCAGTGGGATTTTTTTCTCCCGTTCTTTCTTTGCTGCTGCCCCGTTACAGGTGTTTTCTCTAAAGTGAGGCGCGTGAAATGGTGGTGTCCCTTTATTCCTCGTGTTCTGCTGTTTGCAAGTCTGTGTCTTGTGGATTTACGTGGTCGTTGCTGGCCTATTTGCTGAAGTCTGGCACTTATTTTACTTCTTCTGCACTTGCTCCACTTTCTTATTGAGCTTTGGTCCCGGCAATGGGTGGATGGATGAATGGATAGCTGCTGCTTGGCCTGAACTCTTAGTGTTCTTCCGGCTGCAAAATGGGGAGCAGGGGGTTCTCCCCTTGGTTAGTGCTTGTGCTGTGCCTTGGGAGTAGTGTGCAGGGCTCAGAGCAGAGCATGGCCCATTGGGTGCTGCCAGACAGTTGTTTATTGATGCAACTTTGAATGGTAACTTGACTTAATCATTGAATTGCTCTTTGCAGCGTTGTGGCATCTCATCGCTTTAGTATAAAGTTGGCATATGAGTTATTATTCCTAGAATGAACTATTCTTAAAATAAATAATGCCTTAGAGATCTAGTTGGTTACTCTTCATTGTGTGGGCTTGGGAAGTTGGATGTCAGATATTTTTGTTTCTCTTTGAAGTACCGAGTTGTGTTTTTTGCTGCTGAATGTTGATGTTAATTTACTGTGTGGACTAAATTCCTGTCTTGTTTCAAAGTGTGGCCCTTCTATGCTTCTTGTTTCTTTCAAATTTCGGGTTGCTCTACGTGAACAACATTCTTGTTGTTTTCCAAAGGGAAAAAAAGAAGTTAGAATATGTAGCCAAATAGATTTGAGTATTACCGAAATCCAGAAGAAACCCATTAAAGCCTTAAAAAAAATAAAAGCAAAAAACCCAACATGCCAATGTGTTTGATGCTAAATAAAGAAGTCCTCGGGTTGTGTACACACTGAAGTGATTTTATGTGACCTTAAGTTTCCGCTCTGCAGTTGAGAGATACTTAACTTCAAATGGATCCCTTTGTCTTAGTTTTTTTCCCCCTTAAATTTTGGAAGTAGAGTTCTGGAAGATACAGAAATACATGAAGATTTTGCTGCTTTATTTGACCCATTCGCCTCCTCCCAGTAAAAGGCAGGGAGGCTGCAGGCGGCGCTCAGGTGTAGCACTGGCTGTGGTGGTTGTGCTCATGGGAGAACATGGGAGACCGCATAGCGGCTGTGTGGCTTTCACATGTCTCTGGATCCGAAGCACATGTTGTGGCTGGAAACGTTCATCCTAGCGACTGCTGGTGTTTTACTCTTAAGTGTAATAGACTGATAGCATGGTGCAACAGCAAGCAGGGGAATGGGGGGAGAAGAGGACAAGCTGTTGCATATGAAACGTGTGCTAGAGCAGCAGTGCAGACTGCTGCTGCCAGATCCCATTTGGCAACTTTCCCCTAAGAGTGCTACCTATGCTGATCGAGTGCCAGCTGAATGGTTGTGCTTTTTCCAGACACATTGCACAAGTAATGACACCTCACTCCCAAATAGCTTTTGTTTTCTTTTAAATTAATAACTTCGGTTGTATTTGTTGCAGTTGTGCTTTCTTTTTTTATGTTCCTAACAACTTCCTTGGCTGGTTTTCCATGGTCACTGAGACCGGGCTCTTTGGAAAGCCTCCTGTAGCTGCTCCCCTTGCTAGGCAGGGGGGTTTGGAGATTCGTGATCCTTGAGGTCCCTTCCAGCTCGGGCCATTCTGTGATCGTGTGATTCTGTGGTTTGCCCATCCAACAGACCTTGGGCAGAGTTACAGATTTGTCGTTATTAAAAATAATAAAAACATTTTTAGAGTTCATTTGTGAAGATCAGCTGTGAGAGTATGCCAAGCGATGTCAGTGTTGGCTCCCTGCATTTGGGCTGAGATTTGTTTGGCGCTCTTAAATATTAACCTTCACGTTTGTTTTTTTTCAGCTAAGGAAGGTGTGCAGCTGTTTAAGTGGTTTGAGCAACTGAGGTACTCGTGTATGAAAATCAAGTAATTGTGCGTGTTAGATTCCATTAAACAAAGGCCAGCCTGGTGTTTCTCCTTTCCGCAAAATTAGGCCAATAAGCAGTAGTAGTTTTTACTGACTGCAGGCGTAGCTACGAGTCTTACTTTTGGCACGGGGAGCACTGAAATGCCATAAATTTCAGAACTCTTTCCAAAATCCAGGGCTGGAAAAGTTTGGATGAAAACTAAGATGTGTTGTTTTTTGACAGTGAATTGATTGACCATTGGAACGAGCAGTCTGAAGGTAGTGGGGAGCCTCTGTGTTGGATTCTGCCATTCAAAGCCAGAAACTTTTCTAAAGGATGCTCGAGCCTTTGGGCTCAATTCAGAAGTAACGAAGTGGAAACTTTATGGCCTGCATTACATGAGGTTCAGACAGGATGGCCCAGTGGGCTTTCTGACTTCTGCATTTTATGTGTTTATGCTACTAGAGCCAAGATGCCTTCTCCATGTTGTGTGCCCTGCCACGCCATCCCAGCCATAGGTAGCACGTGGCCAGGTGCATGGCTGAGCAGCTCCATTGGCTCATCTCCCTCCTGCCTCCTCCAGTGTGGGTGCATCCCCTCCTCAGAGCTTTGGCACTCATCCAGCCCATCCCCAGGCTGTTTCGTCTCACTAAGCCGGCAGGAAACTATCTTGTTTTAATTGTGTTTTATTCTGGCTGCATTAGCCATTTTATGGGTTCCTGTGGTTGAATCTGCTTACAGCAAGGCTTGACTAGCTCAGAGCTGGTGTCAGATGATCAGCAGGAGAGTAAGAGCGAGAGGGAATATGGGCCGGCCTCCTTCTGGCCTCTGATAGCTATTGGGCTGGTTAACCCTGCTGTGTGTAGGTTCACCCTAGGGCATTTTCTTATGGCTCCCATGCTGATATGGAAGACTGGGCTTGAGGGTTCAGGATCTCTCTAACTCTGCTCCTTGATGCTGAATCTGCTCTTCTGCTGCGACTTGCCAATCTTTTGTTGTATACATCTCTGCTGTTGCTGCTTGTTTTAATATTTGTCATTTTCCTCTTCTGCATTTACTGTAAGTGACCAGTCCTTTACCGTGCAGAACTTCTTCCAACTTCAGCTTAGCTCTTTTTGTCTATCTGCACTTACTCTTGGAGATGATTTAAAAATACACAGCAAAACCTGTCTTAAGAGAGCAGTTGAGGAGCTGATGAAAGTGGGTTGCCTGGCGGAGTGGCCTAATAAATTCAAAGTGGAATTCTACTGTGTGTCTTCAGGAGCACTTCTGGGTGGTCTGCATGGTGCGGGTGTCCCTGTGTCACCCCATGTGCCAAGGTGGATTGGTTTCCCAGCCTCATAGGCTGTGGTGTCCTCAGGAAGGACTTCCCTTTCCCTCAAATCACCCAAGCCATCGTATCTCTCACTCTGTGAGAGATTCTGGTGCTTTGACATGACTTGGGCCTTTGCCGTGGCAGCTGAGGAATGCAGCGGGAAGAGCGAGCTGAAGGAATGGCAGGGAACTTCCTTAATCTGGGACTGCCTCCATCTCGTAATCAGCCCTTCTGTTTTTGCTTGCTTCTTCTGTAATGCCCAGGCATGGTGATGCGATCAGCAGGTTGGTTTTAATTCAACCACTGAGATGTGCATCTCTCTCAGATGAGCAGTTTGCCCTGGAACCCTCATTCTTCTCTGCTGTTACCCTCCTGCATTGCATCACATGTAAGTTTAGACTGTAAGTTCTTGAGAACAGGGACCTCTGCGTGCACAGTGGGGAGAGCCTGGGCATAGTTCTGCAAAGCAGAATGATTAATACCAAGTTGTAGCTGTTGATGAGTAATGTTGGGACAACACAGCATCCCAAGTGGTCTGGGAAAGTTATGTTATGAGTTTTCTGAAATGTGGGTTTGGTTGTCCACCAGTATTGCAGACAAACGCAGCCAAAAATGGAGCGCTGAAGGTATGCCGGAGTAATGGTCAAGGGATGATGCTGTGAGGTTAACACATTAAGGAGGAGAAATTACCTGTGTACAATCATGTTACATCATTAAAATGGTTGTAAAAGCGTTGTGTTTTGTTGTTTGTTTTACTGTATGTATTTTATTTTATTTTTGGCAAGTTTGGACACCGTGGATAAGCTGAGCGGGCTTTGTGCTTGAGCCTCCTTTCCTGTCTCCCAGGCTAGCCAGGTAGTGTCATTTTTTGGACTCCAGTCCCTCCAATGAAATATTTTATTTTAGGTTAATGCTGTTGTTTTTTATAAAGTTCTCTCTATTGTTCTTCAGTTACATCTTCATGCAGCTGAAATATGGGCTCGCAGTTGACCTCTGAGTACACATTTGAGCAGCTCCCAAATTGAAAGTCCTGCTTTTTTTCTTTTTGTCATACTCTGTTCCAGGAGTTGCTAAACATATGCAATGTTATTCTACAGAATACATCTTTATAGCCCTCTCTTTTTACCCTTTATATTTGTGAACATAAGTCAGTAAAATAAGATGAGTCTGACTTGCATCTTGGACTGCTTTTGGTTGCTCTAGCCTTGAGTTCAGCTGTCTGCCAGAGAGCAGCAGTCATAGTTGCCTGTGCCCAGGCTTTGCTCAGGGAATAAACTGACCCATATTACTCCCAAAGTTTCCTTGCTTACTTTTCATTCTTTCTTTTTTTTTCCAATTTTTGTTTTGCATTGGTCTCTATTTTTGTGTGTATGTATGAATATATATAAAAAATATGCTGTGATGAGATCATTTTACATTTAGCATGTAAGTGGGGGCTTTCTAAAATACATCCTTTAAGGTTGGTGGGGCAACCCAGGCAGTTTGTCTTTTCCCATCTTCTGTCTCCAACTATGGTGGGGAATATTTGAATATTTTGGGATCAGAAGCAAGGAGAGATGCCTTCTTTTGCTGCCAGGATTTTAATTAGATTTAGTTGTTAAAAAAAATTAATGTTCATTGCAGAGAGCCTGTTGAGCTCGAGTTCCCAGGCTTGAGGTTCATTACTATCTCACCACTGGTGGATAGGTGTTACACAGCACCTAATGCTAACTTTATCTTCAGCTGAAACCCACCAGCCATGGCCCTTTCCTGTGTTATTGGGTGTTGCAACTGTAACGTGCTGTCACGTTTTCCTAGGGCTGTGTACAATCTGTCAGAACAATTCCTGCAGTCCAGCTGCAGCTCATGGTCCCCTTGTATTTCATATATATCTGTGTAAGGAATTGGAGCTGTGTGATATGAAATACTAACCCAGTAGGGTTGGATGCCAGATGTGGCAGTTTGCACTAACTGATATGATAATCTCACCCTCTGTGCTTGAGAAGTATAGGCATGCTTTTTTGCTTAGGTGTAGAAATGGGATCATGCAACCTGGATTTATGTGCGTAGAGCAGGGTTTCTAGTTTCTGAAGCTGCACTGCTTGCAGGCTTGTTGCCTGTTTAGAGGGGGGAGAAATAGGGGATAATTACTCGTGCCTTGCATCGTCACAGCAGTTATAAATGCTTTACATGACTTCTAATAAAGCATGTTTGCTCAGCAGCTATCTTGTGCACGGAGACGCTCTGACCTTCCCAGAGAAGATGATGTAAGGTCTTCCCAGGGCACCAGGAGCATGGCTGGGTAAACAGGCAGTTAAAACTTCATTTGGCTCTGAGTGCAGGCTGTGCAGCAGGGTTGCTCCTGTTCATATGCTGTCTGCATAGGGCAGTCGGCACGGAATGCTCCACCTGCACACCTTGCTCAGTGCTCAGCTCCCTCTCAGATGGGCTCACTGGGCACGGACTGCCTGGGAAGGTGTTGGTTGGCTCTCCGTGCCAGCTGTTTGACAATGCCCGTGCAGTGCAGGCTGGCCTGAAGATTCACACTGCAAGCGTTCGATGCCCTGCCCGTGCTGTGCTGGTGAAGATGCATGAGGGAAGTGCTGATTTTGCTGTGTGTAGGTGGACAGCGTGGTGTGCTTTATTGCCTGTGCTTGATATAGGGGTTGGAGCCTGCCTGCCTCCCCCATCCCAACTGTATATTTCACTTTATGCAGCAGGCTACAGACCGGGTTTTGCCATGACTAACTTACATGCTGCTGTATTCTGAGACGTTACATCGTGATGGACCTTCAGATTCATAGCTGAAGGCCTGAAAATTTCAAGCACGTACACCTTAAATATCTCTTATTCGAGGCAGGCTAGAAGTGAATGTGACTAACTGTTATTGTGCACTAATGCATTTATTAATGATGGTAAAAGCTGTAGATGGAAAAGCAATAGGTCGGGCTTGAGCCCCTTTGGGATAAATACAATGTTGGTCTTGCGGGGAAACTCTTCATTATGCTTTTGTAACTTGAGTTTTCAGTTTTCTGAGTACCTGCTGCTTGGCACACCGCTAAGACGGTGAGCAGGTCCCTGGAATGTGGAAGCTCTGAAGCGTGGCAGTGCTCACACCGTGGGGTTGCAGTGTGGGCAATGCTGGGAGCCCCGCAGCACCTCTGCTTCCCAGGAGTGCTGTGCCGGGTGCTGCTCTGGCCCCAGCCCTACGAAGGGGAGGTTGCAGAGCGCGTGTTTACCCGAAGCACACAACCTGCTCAGCCGCAATTATCTCCTAATCTGGTCCTTCCGAGTTTCTCTGGTCTCGCAGGTAAATACAGATTTAGCTGCTATTCAAGGCGTATTATTTACCTCATTAAGTGTGTGTTTTGGCACGTGCATTATTTACCTGATGGACTAACGGATGGGAAAGAGCAAATGCTGTCTTTTGTGCAAATAGCGCGTTTGTGCGCAGGCTGCGAGTTCCATTTCCCGTTCCGCATTGAGCACACGTGGCTGGGTGGGACCTCACAGGCTGTGCCCAGAGCCAGTGCCCCGTGTCCTCGGCCCCACAAAGGCTGTGCTGTTATAGGGATGATGTGGTTACCGTCAGCCAGCAGAACTGGGAGGGGTGCCCGTGTGCTGGCTTAGCAGGATGGGCTGGTGACATTGTCATGGTCGGTTCTTCTGCCCTGGGTCTGTAGGAGCAGGGGAGTCTCGGTGTGGCTAACAGGCTGCTTTGAGGGGTCATGGTGCTGAGGTGTGCTTGCTGCCTTTAGTTCCTGCCGTGTATTAGAAGTTGTGTTGTATACAAGAAGTTGAAAGCCTCCTTGGAAATTTCAGTGGGTTTTGGATTAGACTTCTCAAGCATAAGTAGTTTGTGTTGTTCTGCTCTGATAAGGCTCAGCAGGTACGTGTGATCTGGTGCCATGGCTGTTGTTTTGTTTGTGGCTTTTCATTTAGAGCTGTTTGCAGAGGGTTGATTTGCAGGTATGTGTGGTTCGGGCTACCTTGAGCTCCATCCTTAGTGCTTTGTGCGGGCTGCTGTGCTGCTTCGGGTTGGCAGTGCTGGAAGCCACACGGGGAAGCACAGGGAAAACCCCTGGCAGAGTGCGATGGAGCGGTGCTGACAGTGCTGAGATGTGAGTGCATGAGTGACACGAATCTCTCTTCAGTTTCAGATGCCTCTGGATGTTCAATGATAGCACTCCTCCATACTGGAGCAGCAAAGTTTCCCCAACACTTCCTTCCAAGGGCGAGACAAGCTGTGTGCCTGCTCCTCCCTGCTGCTCTTCTCAAAGGGTACGGCTCCATCATAAGCAGGAAACTGGCGTCCCACGGCTTTGGAGCTTCCATGGCAGCAATGTCATCCTTCCCTCCACAGAGATATCACTACTTCTTAGTGCTGGATTTTGAGGCCACGTGTGATAAACCACAGATTCATCCTCAGGTAAATAGTTGATGCTGTTAATTCTGAGCTTGTAAGCTGATACTGCCATTCTGAGAGATGGAAAGAAAAGATGCGGTACTGAATAGCTCACTTTCCTTGCTTTCTCCCACCTTCTTTCTACTGCTGCTCCCCCAGAGCTCCTGCTCTCTCAAGCAGCAGTGCCAGGTCGCTGTGATGGAAATGAAATGAAGGAGCCTGATTTTCACCAGGGAACTGATAACACGTGTTATCATAGACGCTACTTAGTCATGTATGCTTGTTGTCTGCCTGAAGTGGTGGGGGTTTGAAAATTGCTGACTGGGAACCTGCATTAGTAGAATGCTCACAGCAACCTTTGATTCTGTAAGAAAAAGGTCTATTATTAGTCAATAGTTTATTTAAAAAAAAAAAAAAGCAAAACAATTTGAATGATATGAGTGCGTGCAGAATAATGGTGTTTCTAGATAGACAAGAACAATGGTTTTGAGCTGTGTGGTGGTGCTGAAATTATCTTGCCTGGATGTTCACTCTGGAGTGTAATGAGACAGGAACAGAGCTGCTCAGAAAGGTTTGCCAGTGTCTGACCTTCTGAGATACGCAGAGATCTGTGTGAGGCTTGGATGTGTTTCTGCAGCCAGTTCTTCCGACATAGTGTAGAGAAGTTGGTTAAATATATGTTCATTTATCAGCAGTGTGGGCCTAGGTTTTCTGCTTAAATGAGAAAAACATGCCAAAAAAGAAAAAATAAAATAGTGGGCTGGTAACAAACAGAATTTCTTAGTATCCAGGCTGAACTCAGACTTTGTACCCTCCTCTGTACCAAACAATTAGCCTCATACTAATATTGCTGTTAATTTGAGCATCAGGCCTGAGATTTACTTTGACTTGCTTTACTTCAAACATACTAAATGATGAACAGTTATCAGTGTGGCATCTCTTTACTGAGATTGCTTGGTGCAGTGGGCTTGCTTCCCAGTGCAGCTGTGGCTCCCTTTGGGCTTATCCTAGCAAAGGAGTGCTGCAAGTTGGGATCAGACTGTAGGCATCTCAAGTGCCACCCATCCCTCCTGTTTTGTGACAAAAAGGACTGCAAATTCTCTCCTTGTATTCTGGGTCTTCGTGGGAGGCTGTTGTGGCTCTGCATCCCGCTCTGCTGGCAGTTGTAACCGCTCTCCAAGTGAGATGTAAGGCTATTTCCTGCACGCTCAGCCTCGGGTGCACAGATCTGTCAAGGCTGTAAATTGGATCTACCTTGTCCCTTTGGATATGGGCTTGGTCCGTGCACATTTTGATGCAAAACCATGATGCATGTGGAGCTAGTTTACAGCTGGCAGTAAAAAGGAGCATGAGTGGAATATGATTACTACTGTTTTAAGGAGCTTTGTCCCCAAGTCCTTGCCAGAGAAAGTAATGGCCTGGGCCAATGCAGATCCGCTATATATTTTGTTGCACCTTTAAGGTGGAGATGTTCTTCAGCGTTGTTTCTTCAGTCTGCTCTGTTCTGTGCCTGTCTGCATCATATCTTGTGTGCTGTAAGGGCTGTCAGGCCCTCACGTCCTCACAAACAAATGAGTTTGACAAATAAATAATGCTCTTGCTGCATGGGAATCAGTGTCACTGAAAAGGCTGAATTTGTCTGCTGGAATTGGGCAGCTTTACAGAAAAGAGCTCTTGTTAGCTGATGCCCCTACCTACGTTTCACCTTACTGCTGACCGATGTGGCTGTTGCTCTGGTCATTGCTGGGCTACGTGTCTGGGTGAGCAAACTGCGCTGTGGATTCCAGTGATGTTGATTTTTGTGCAAGGTATTCCTGGCTGTATCTTCCATGAAGCAGTGGCACACAGGTCTTGGAGATGCAATATGAGAGTGGACCTGGGAGTGGTCAGGTTCTGATCTTAGCTGTGATCCTGGTGGTTCTGCTGCTTTTGTTTCCTTACTCGCAAAATAGAAGTGTGGTAAGTGATACAGTGAAATCCAAATGCTCTAGAATTTGATGAGGAGGCTGCATAAAGAGCTAAGCCGTGATCCAAGTTGCATTCAGTGGGTAGTCATAGCTGTAAATTTAGCCAGCTCAGCCTGGAAGTCTGGCAGAGCGCACTTGCACTGTGCAGTACACTTCACATTTCTCACTGACTACTCTTCAAAACATTCCAGCTCCTTAGCAGAAGGAGCTATCTTTTTCTCTATGCCAAGGTATGTACTGCCACATCTGTTCCCCCTTCCTCTGTATTTACTTCTGCTCCTCTGCAGCTGACAGCCTCATCTCACTTCTCACTCAGCTCCTGCGTTTCCATCCTTTTTCATGCTGTCTGGTCCCCTCCAAGGTTCCGTGGCACAGGATCTGCAAAGGGGATCAAGGAGAGTCAAGGACAGCAGTGTTCCCCTAGGAAGCCATCTGTGGTGTGACTGCTGGTTATGTGGCAGCTGCCCTGTGCTTCACCACTTCTGTGGTCTCTGCCCTTTGTCCACAGAGGAGAGGTGCTCTCAGGGCTGGTGGCACAGAGCGTGCCAGTCAGCCTGCATCCTTGTCATCTCCCTGTCTTGATAGCTTTCAGCAGATATGCCCCCAAATCAAAGTGCATGTTTAAATGCACAAAAGGGCAGCTTGGCTTACAGATTTATTTATGAACGATGAGACCATCCCAGACAGAAAAGAAGGTGGAGAGTTTATCTGCATTGCCCCAGATGGATAAGTGGGAAAAGTGGAAGAATAGAGGCATGGCCTGTGTCATTTAGTGTTTTAACCAGCCATAGGTCAGCAAGGGGTTGGCAGGAAGAGGTGTTTATTGCTGCTCCCTTGCATCTCTTCAAAGCTTACCTTGTGTTTGGAACTCGATGCAATGCCCAGCAGTGTCAAGCAGGAGTTGGACCTGCAGCAGTGGCAGCTTGCTTCAGCTCTGCTGCTTTCTCTTTTCCCTTGCTGTCTAACAGTTTAACAGTTTAAGTGTCTGTTTTTGTACACTGTCAGCTTGTAAGGGTAGGTACGTGTGGTACTTTAGATACACAAGTGAAGATGCACAAATAAGTGAGAGGCTTGCTCCTCTGTTCCTTTGTCCTCACATGCAGCTGTTTATCTTGGCCCCTGCTTTCAGTGCTGTGTTGAGGAGCTGCCCAGCTCAGATCTGCAGCTGCCTGTACCCTTGTGCTGGCAGTGCCCTGAGAAGCTGTGCCCCATTCACTCAGCAAGCCCTGCACCTTGTCTTCAGCTTCTGTCAAGTGGATGAAAAGCGATGATTTTCTTAAAGGTTTAAAAAAAGAAAAAAAGTCTGGTGACAGAATCGTAGAAATCAGAGCTTTTCACACCTGAATTTGAATTTAGGCCTCTAGGTGGAATGTCAGTCTCTACTGTAATGCATAAAAACACTTGCGTGAAAAATGAATAGTTTCTAAGCTTGTGTGCCTGCTGCCAGGTTGTGTAGAAGGGCATCAGGCCCTGCCCTGGGGGAAGTCGATGGGGGTAGAAGCTGTTCCACCGCTAAATGAACTTTTGGCAGTGGTGAAGGTACTGTTGGTTCAGGTCAGGTTTTCAGGTATTTGACTTCAGTGTCTTGGATTCACTCAGATTTGCTGATCAGCTGGGAATTAGAATTGTCCCACTCGCTCTGAAGGTATGAAATGGTCAGATCTCTACTAATGGAGACTGTAACCAGAGGCAGAGAAATAAATTAATTACAGATGATAACCTTCCTCGCTCACTTAAACAGCATGGATTAAATACAAAAAATATTTTAGTAGTTTTCTTTAGCGTATTTTATTTGTTTCAAGTTTCTTTAATGTTTGACTCTTTTTGTGCATGTGCTTTTCATTAAAAATGATGTCAAGCGAAACTGAACGTACCTGTTAATGAACACAGAATGTCACTCACCATTTCAACATAAACTGCAATCATTGAGACTATGAATATGCAAATGTTCAGTTACTAATTTATTTTTAAGTGTACAAATAAGGTATGATCGTAACACAAAACCACGTGAACAAGTGAGAGCCAGTCTTTCAGGTGATTTATGAAGGGCACACTAGGACCCGGAGGTGGCTCACGAGGCAGCTGGTTGCTCCCATCCCCTGCAAGGACTGATAATGGAGATGTGTTGGTCTCTGCCTGTTCTAACCTGGGTATCCCCCTGCAGCAGCTTTCTGCTAGCACGGTTCTTGTGTAGCTGTTAAGCTCAGTGCATTAGAAATCACCTGCCAAAACCTGTATTGAGGTTGATGGCGAATTGCTGAAAAGTAAAGAAATTCAGCCTTGTTTCCCATGGCAACTTTAACTCAGCACTCTCATGTATAAGTATTACAGTGGCATATTAATCTGCAATTACCTGTCTTCATGCAGCTTAGGCTTGGGTTTACTTTTAAATGCATAGTCCTCAATTCAGCACTTACAGTGTTATTTCTAGAGGAATGCCATTAAAGATGCATGTAACACAATCGCTTCAAATCTTTTTTTTTTTACTAAAAGTAAGTAAAAAAAAATATGTATTTATCATCTCTTTGCCAATTATGGCTTACTTTATACCCTTTCTTTAATGAAGCTCCATGGCTGTTGGTAGGCCATTCTTCTTATGTTGTAATGCTTAAAGTTCTCAGAGCATCGGGGAATAGTTCATAGAAAAGCTGTTTTAGATGGCTTTTCTGTTCACATTAATTTTTCAAACAGTTGTTTGAAGAAACTTTTTGAGGCCTTGTAGCTGCCTCATCTGAGCCATTACATGTTCTGCTAAGAGCACATAAATATCCCTAACTCAATGTGCATCTGAAATTAAAGGGATGCAGTTCCTTTTTATCATATTTTCCATACGTCGTGTGCCTCATTGCAGTTCCACTGGACTGTTGTGAAATCTTATTTTGGCCACTATTGAGAATGATGTCTTTATTTTAAAGGACGTGGGGGTCGGAGGAGGGCAGACAGGGTTCTGGTATGGGTCTGCAACCCACAGAAGCTGCGTTCTGTGGGGCAGCCATCCTGCCTTGGAAACCTCTCTCACTCTTGCAATGAGTAGGGACAACCTTGCTGTGACCCGTG